CGACTCCGTATCAGGCTAGCTTTATCTAACCTGAATATTTACAACCCTCCTGTCCTATTGTCGATACACTGACAGAACTTACCTACTGTCTTTCAACCACATTGAAAGGCTTTTTTTTTATCCCGCCAACATCTTTATCTTTCTCCCTTTTTCTTTTTCTGTTTTGCGCCCCGGATAGTTTTTTTTTTTTTTTTTCTGGCACTCCATCTTGCTGTTAAGTGTGCACTACGAGTGGTAGTCAAAGATAAAAAAAAAAATAATAATATAAAAAAAACACCTCTTAGGGGCAAGTGCGCAAGCCACCTGTGTGGGAAGGGAGAGCGACAGGAGAGGAGGTGAAGGGGGCGCATAATCAGTGCTGTCTCTCTGTTATTGATCATTTTATGCTGTTAAATATAGAAAATGACAACTAGAAAATTTTATTTTCTAGAGGGGTTTTTTGACGCCCCCTCGAGTGCAGTGCCTCTATGCGTTGCATGTGCTGCATACCCAGTTTTTGCGCCACTGCCTCAGTCTGTCAAGCTTCTGAAGTTTGCATACAACACCACTCTCATTGGTCTTATCTCTGATGGTGACGAGTCCACCTTCAGGTGGGAGGTTGCCCATCTGGCTAATTGGTGCAGAAAGAACAACCTGGAACTCAACACTCTAAAAATATTGGAGAGGGTTGTTGACTTCAGGAAGAACTCAGCCCCAGCTATCTCCATCACCCTCTGTGACTCCACAATTGACACTATGGAGTCTTTCTGCTTTCTAAGAACTTTCATCTCTCAGGTCCTAAAGTGGGAGCTGATCATCAACTCCCTGACCAAGAAAGCCCAGCAAGGTGTACTTCCAGCGGCAGCTGAAAAAATTCAACCTGACAAGGACTATGATGGTGCACTTCTACTCTTCCATCATTGAGTCCATCCTCACCTCCTCTATCACCATCTGGTACGCTGGTGCCACCGCCAAGGACAAGGGCAGAGTGCAACGGGTCATCTGGTCTGCAGAGAAGGTGATTGGCTGCAATCTTCCATCTCTCCAGGACCTGTGTGCCTCCAGGTCTCTGAGGCATGCAGGGAAGATTGTGGCTGAGCCCTCGCACATCAGCCACAAACTATTTCAATCACTTCCCTCTGGCAGGAGGCAGTGATTCATCATGACCAAAATCTCATGCCACAAGAGCAGTTTCTTCTATACCACTATCGACCTTATCAACAAAGCC